TTTTGAATACAAAATATTGGAACTCAAACCCGACGACTTATGAGCTCAAATGAGTGGCTCGAACTCGAGGTTGAACTTGATCAAATCTAGCTCGATTTAAGTTATTGAGTCGAGTTATTTGGTTTAGCATCATCTCTAGTTCCATCCCGAGCCTAGCATGTCACTGTTTCCTCTAGAAAATTCTTTTTTCTAGAGAATTCCATTCATAATGCTGACACTCCCAAGGCTTGTCCTCGTTTAATTTGATAGATACTGATGACCATTGGAAAATCATAGGCGTGAAAAAGGTCCCATTCTATGGTGCCATTTTTCCTGTTTAAAGTTTAACATTTTCCGTGGTGGACCAATAAGCATTAATCAGTTGGACTTGATTGGTTTCTCTTATTGATTACGAGATCTACGCTTCAAACACCACCACAAAAAACATATAGGGAAACGCTTTAAAATTTTAGGAGTGTTAATATAGCAGCTGTTGAGTGGGCACTTATTAATATTAATTCTGGTGTTAGTTTTTTAATAAGGTGAAATAAATCAAAGTTAGTATCTACATGTTAGAGAAATAATAAATGTGAACATGTCAATGCAATTAAGCATGTTAATAGATCGGGTCTTATCCAAATTTAACATAGACCCAATATACTTGAGTGGGTTTGGATTTAATTTTTCAAATCCAGACTCTATCCAAACCTAGACCTTGTGAGAGAGTTGTGGGTCTAGGTAGGATATAGTTTTTTAGAATCCACACTCAAATTTAGATCTATACCAAGTCATGTCTAGATTTAGACCCATATCAAGTCATACGGATTTAGACCCATACCGAGATTTCGTTTCATTAGAAATCTTGCAAACTATTTCTTTTGCCCTACCATCTCTTGTATTGTCTTTTCTATTTTCGGCTATTACAATTGCATTAGAATTTACATTTAATGTTGGTGGTAGAATAATTGATGTCCAGATGTGATTGAAGTATGATAATTGGATTGAATCAAAGAAAAAAGATGAGTAAGTATTTATAAATCTTCTTATTCTATTATTTATTTGTTATCGGTCCTTAATCAAATGATTTTTATCTCATTCACTATTGTAGCGTTGGATTGCAAGAGATCTATCTACATCGGGGCTTAAGTAAGATAAAGAGGAACAAAATTATATATATATATATTTAATAAGGCTAAATATTTATATATGTTATATTGATTTCTATTTTTCAGACTAATTCTAGTTGTTATTATAATTCATACAAACTTTTCAGGAAAAAGAGAAAAAATAAAGACAAACAAATAAAAGATTGAACTTGGATGCAGTTGAAATTCTGAAAATATAGAGAAAGTAGTCGATGATAGTTCTTTCTTTGAGTTCATAAAATTACATTCAACTTGTTGAATATTAATTTCATTATTTGAAAACAAAAATTGGACGGTATTTATATTATTTATTAACTCTATATACTTTTAATATATTTTTATTTTAGCCCAAATCCATAAGGTCTAGATCTAAACTTATGATGTGTTTGATAAAACTAAAATCTAAAATCTGAAATCTGAAATCTGAAATCTGAAATTTGAAATCTAAATTTATTAAGCCATTAAATTCTTAAATATCAAATTTAATACATTTGAGTGTATATCACATTCAGTAATAAGTAAATCTCTTATCACTTAATTTTGGAGCAAGTTTTATCTAGGAAATTCAATAATACTTAATTAATTCAGATGTTTAATTTTTGGTAATCAAATGCATCTGAATAGATGAATCTATTAAGTTTAAGTGCTAAATTGAATTACTAAACAGGACCTTACTTTTTCATACCCATAAGGGTTTGGGTTCGAGTATACATATGTGTGTGTATTGGAAAGTGTAAATGAGAGGACTTGAATTCAAACTCCTATAAATAAAAGGTATCGAGTTCGAATCATTTCATTTACACTAAAAAATAATACGTGTGTATGTGAAACAAGATACTCAGCTTGAATAATAATTCGAGAGAGCTGTCTCATCAATAAGATTCGTCATTATTCCGAACATGATTTGATTGGAGACATGGGCATCCAGACTTGCCATCGCTAGTATCCTGAGAATTTTTCTCAACTGAATATGTACCGACCATCCTCTAACGTTTCCGGAAAAAAAAAAAAAAAAAAATGTGCCGACCACATATGAAAGCTGAAAAGCCACTCGCATCCAAGTTGTCAATCCACCTGTTTATTGATCCGAACTTATAACGTGTACGTACATATACCATTGATATTTTTCCACTTTAAGGGACACAATTGATCTCTGGCCCACCCCGGAGGATTAATTAAAATAGTTTTTACTCTATTATTGAAGAATACTAAACAGAAAGGATTCTATAAGCTGTAATGCCGTTCTCATGTGAAAATTTGAGATATGAACTGGGCTCATAAAAGAATAAACATTTGTACAGAATGCATGAAAAGTGTACGTTCCAGAGTAGTATGATCTGAAATTATACACATGCGATTGATAGTTGAGTATAACTGTCAATTAATAACACAAGTTATTATATACATACGCTGTAACGATAATATTTTTATAATCTAATTTATCCATTTTTAAAGGGAGGGAAGCTTAAAGAAGCTTCGCCGTTATTATACATTACCTCTGTATGTATTTGTGTATTGCGTAGTACAATTGAGACTTGGCAGTTGCAGAACCCTAAATCGGATTATTTGATATGAAAGATGAAATTTCATGCTGACAAAGAAGGGATGACAATGAACACAGAAATAGTAGGGTAATTGCTTGAGATGGACCAATAATGTATCCACATGTAGCATGAACTAATTTGTCTCTCCATTAGTAGTCCATTATCTATTGTCTAATCAAAACCTATTCATACCATTATCATTGTTTACTTGTCTTAAACACCAAGAGTCCTCCTTGAGCATGCAATCTCATTATTTGATAGCTCAAACTTAATGGTCAAATAAAGGGGCATGGAGCCATCATTAGAGAATAATAATATATCTTCTGCAGGGGATGGAGGACACGTGGAATGTTGATTTGAATTTTTGCACAATAAAGTATTTGGAGGGAGAGCTAAACCTAAGAAGGAAAGTGAGAGATAAGATGATGAAGCCAATTTTGGTCATAAGCAAAGTTTGCTTTTCAAGTAATCATCTCCTAGCTGCCACATCTTCCAATGAACACGAAGAAACAAGATAAACTAATCATGTTCTTAGTCCAAAGATTGACAAAACAATCCACATTAGAATATTGTTTGAGAACATACCCACATGAGCAAGAGTTCAAAGAATAAGGGGTTTGATTAATTTGGAACCTAATTAATCAATGGGTTTGATTGATTCCCATTGATTAATTAGGTTTATTAGGACCCAAGTTCTTAGAAATAGAATATGTTGCCAAATTCTTGGCATAACATCATCCAACAGTTATATGACTCATGCTTAGATAGAATCGATCTTAAAAAATTCAATGATCCAAATTGTGCCACACCATCTCATCAGATGGTGTTGTACAATCTGGACCATTCAGTTTTCGAAGATCAGGCCTAGGCCTATCCAAGTTTTGGCCTAATTATGTATAGCATAAAACAGGTCTTGCAGTTACCTTATCTTCTGATGTTTCTATCAGCTAAAGTTAGGAAAATTTTCTGGAACACGCAATTGTAGTTGGAAATCCAGTTTAAATTAGATTGCTGACCTCCAAAGGCTACGAGCCAATAGCCAATCTAATCCAGTAGCAAAATGGGAAAGCCCACAAGCCAATTGACCCAATTGGCCCGTAGTCCTGCTACCACTTTTTGAAAACTGTTTGGGTCAATTGACAATTCTTCCTCTTTAGTTGGTTGAAAATTTTTGAATTTTAGATTCCATGGTAATTATATATAAAACAGATTTCAAAAGGATTAATGACAAACTAGCCTATCAAAAAGTACTAAAATTTGCATCTTAAACGTCTATATTTCAGATATAATACAATATAAACTTTGCAATTTCAAAGTGCACATGATTTTGTAACATAAGATGCACGTTTTGCAAGGAAAAAAAATAAACTTTCAATTGGGCCAATATTTTTTTTTTAAAATTGTGCAAGAATATATAACACTTGGGGGTATGTTCATCCTGAAATTATAATGCGCATCAATTTTTGTGGATGGCATGTTTGTCTTCTTCATTTTTATACACTTGCAATTGGACATTTCTCTAAAATATTGCTTTAATAGGACATTAGTTGTCAAAGTTATATTCAAGTTAGGATTTCTTGGATTGATTGTATTATATGGCCGACAAAAAAGGTGTAAGTAGCAGATTGATCTATTTAAACAGTAAATGGAACAAAATTGTGACTCACCTATTCTTTGAGGGTGCATCTTGTAATTTACCCATTCAAGAATGCATGTCTCCCAACCAATATGGCATCAGATTAAGGCTTGCTTTTGTATAAATCTAGCAAGGTTTCCAAGAATCAGAAAACAGTAACAAAATTTTATTTTCACACTAATACTACTACTTGAACAGAATATTATCATGTTTACCAATTTAGGATTGGTTTGGAATGAGAAATTTGATGACTGATTTGAAATCTACCCGAATCGCTCTAGTTATTTGAATTGCTTAAGAGGCATTTCAATTTGTAATTAGTTGTTCGGATTACTTAATAGGTATTTGAACTTGTAATTCACCAATTATCTGAATATATTTTAAACACTAGAATAATTAGCAATTTACAAATTCAAATACCTCTCAAGTAATTTAAATAACTAGAGTGATTTAAAAGAATTTCAAATCATTTGTCAAATCCCTCAATCCAAAAGCAACCTGATTAAGTTTTATGCCATGGTATTTAATATATTCCGTACTCTATAGCAAGTCACAGAATATATGAAAAACTGTATCGGAGCAAGAAAGAAACAAACTTGAGAAGCATACATTACATTCCATTTCAAGTTCTTCAAGCCAACACTAGGCATTTAGTCGACTTATTAAATAGGAATTATCAAACAAAGACCAAAAAATTTACAACCAAGCTGGATTCTCCAATGGAGTAACAACGGCCTTCTCCTGCAAATGGTTCTTTAGGCTATAAATTCCTTTTTCTCTTCCATGACAGCTCATCTTATAGCCACCATATGGAATTGCAGCATCAAAGATATTATAGCAGTTAATCCATACTGTTCCAGCCCTTAATCCTCGTGATAATGTGTTTGCTGTGTTGATGTTCTTTGCGAAAACTCCTGCTGCCAGACCATATTCTGTTGCATTTGCCCTTCTGATCACTTCATCAAGGTCCCTAACAGGACATGACATATAACACTCATAAACTGAAATCCTGTCATATCTCTTTTGTTGTATTGCCTTCTCTAAAAGTTTGAAATAAACAGAAAACTCAGAAAACACTTGGAATCATTTGCATCAAGATTAGACTTCAGAAAACAAAGATGTAGTTATTCAATATGCGAGTATATGTAGGTATCAATTCATGTATAGCTGATTTCTGAAGGCATTTGGCAACCTAGCTAGAGCAATCCAGTCTGACCAGTGATTCACTGGTTTTGTATAGTGGTTTTCCTTGTACCAGGGGAGGAAAGGCCTGGGAGGCTGTTTCTTTTTCCTCATAATGCCATAGGATTTGTATTTAGCTTTATACAAGAGACCAAATACAAATTATATGAACAAAGTGCGGGGTTTACATGAAATTCGGTGTGAAGTATCATATGACTCACTTGAATTTTAAGATTGACCGCACTGGGCCAAAAATTTCATCCTTAGCTATCAGCATATCATCCTGTTTGAACATAAGAAATATCAGTTATTTTCATTTAACTTTTGTACGCATTGTAGGTGAAGATCAGAGGGACAGAAATGTAGAATTACTTTAACATTGGAGAAAACATTTGGTTGAACATAATAGCCCTTGGAGCCAACTCTTTCACCTCCACACTCAAGGGTAGCATTACCATCAATTCCAGATCTTACGTACTGAAGAATCTTCTCAAATTGTTTAGAATCGATCTGCGATGTTTTATTAGGCAACAAACTTTTGAGACAGTAATTTCCATCTCTAAAATTTGAAAGCAACATGGATATTGACAACTAAATATGACAAACTTTGTCTTTGAGTGTAATTCGTAGTTTTACGTTCTGCAAGAAAAATTTCCTTTGTTTTCTGACAATGCTGGATATACTCCTTCACAGAGTCATGTATCATATTCGAATGAATGACAATTGGTTGCATTGCAATGCTCTCAGATAGACAATATCTGTGGCATGTAGGTTGCAAAAGTAATCTAGAGCCTTAGTTTATCTAACCATTTTGACACATAAGAGAAAGAGGTCAAATGTGGAGCAGGTTTACACAGTCTAACACACTACTAGATGTCATCTGAGAGCATGCTTACTTTCACATTGAACAAGAGAAACAGCAAAGATTGCAGAATAACTGAGGGCCTTGTTCAACACCTTTCTTGAATGGATCTCCAACTATACGCCTCAAGGCACTAGCCTTTGCTTTCTCCACAAACTCATTATAAACACGTTCATGAACAAATGTACGAGAGTCGAGAGCCAGCACAGCAGATTTGGCCTTACAGGCGGCAAATAAACTCAAAACACTTCTCAATCTTCAATATCAGCTATGCAGCTTTATTAATTATTGCTGCACAAATTCTTACAAGATTAGTGAATGTAGGTTTCAAATGATTGTAGCTAATAATTGTGATTATAAAAACTAGTGAGCATAAGTATATTAAGTGATTTTAAGAAATTTTTAAAAAAACATGTCCTTATTTTTGTGTTGTCTTTTCTACCTATTAAAATCCAATGTTCTAATAGTAAACTTGTAGATTATTTATTTTATTATTTGTTTACCTTGATAATTTCAGTGAATGATTCAAATAATTCTATAAAATATCAACTTAATCTCAAACTAAATTGATAACCTATTGAAATGGAAAAAAGGCAACGAACCTAATTTAAAGGGACATCCCTTATATTTTAAAGGGACACTTGATTGAGAATTTAGTTATCAATACAAGAGAAAAAATGATAAAACTCATTATTAATTAATTAGTCATAATGCAAAGCAATAAATACATATATCATCAAGGAGGTCTTGGCTTAATGACTAAGGTTGAGACCTTAAAAATTAGAGCTCTTAGGCTCTAATTCCCTAACCCCCTCCTTGCTTTTTAAGTCCTACCCCTTCCCTATTAGAAAAAAAAAGAAGAAGAAGTTTGAGACTAGGTATGCAAAAGTGGGGAAGCGTCTGAAAAATTAGTGAGATAACTAAATAAAATAAAATAAAATAAGAACAAAAAGATGTTTAATTAGTTTTTGCATGTTTTTTTTTAACACAATTTCAATCTAATTGGCATCTTCTTTCATCCTAAAACCACTATTTTAAATATAAGGGACTATAATGATCCAAATTCGAAACATCAAGGACCAAAAGTGCAAAATCAAAGTTATTGACAAATGGCAATTTAATTTGACGGTTAGTTATTATTGAATTTCCATCGAGTGTCCTAAATGTACCTAAAATCTAAAATTTTGAGGACCAAATTTTTTTTTTTTATCAAAATATTAGGGAGTAGCTTAGCACATAGGCCAAACATTAAGGTCTAAAACTGCATTTTTTTCTACATTTGAAAGTGTAAAGTGTTTTCACACGGGTAGTGTACTAAAAATGAATCGTTTCCTTAATACTTCTTTCCACCCTAGCTTCTTAAATGAATAAAAAAGAACTCGTTATTTTTCTTTTGATAATACGCATTTTGCGTGCATATTTGTTTGCATATTCAGTAGTTAACATGATCCATGGCAATTTCATTGTTAACAAAATGAGAAAGGATCATTCAAAAATTCAACCTAGTAAAAGAAGAACTTTGAATTTACAGTGGTGTATGTTAGAGTCCCCTTTTGATCAATCGTTTCAAGTTTTAAAAGCAACTTGGTCCCATGCAACATGTTTGACGGGTCATTGCCCTTCTTTCATCAGGAAATGGAAAGCAGCATTGAGAGTTAGACATATCAAGATGCCTGGTAGTTCAATCATGCATCTATGAATGATGCAGCTTGATTCGACACACGTTTCATCTAGATGATTTAACCAATCCAAGAAACGTGAGGTCTTTTTCTGTAGCGGATCAGCGCAGATAAATTTTCAGTTATAAAAAAATAAAAAACTAAAATCTTGAGTTGAATATAAATAAGAAATTGGCTCTTGCACATTTTTTTTTTTGCCTTTGAAAGACAATCACGAATGATCATTCATGTTTGAGAGAGAATATTTCATTCAATTTGATAAAATGGACACCCAAGAAATGAGTTCAAGAGGGCTATTTGTAACGTTTAAGTCAAGAAAGTAATAAGCTAATGCTAACAAAGAAATACTCAAATTACAAGCGGAATGAATGTCACAAGTCTGTGCTCTTCTTTGTGTAGAGAGCTAGTGCAAAAGAGGAAAAAAATTGCAAGACAATTAAAGCACCACCATATCCAAATTAAAACAAGATTCTGCATTTGAATTTTGAGGTTTCTTGGGCCCAATTTCTTAGTTTGTGATTGAAAAAAGAAAATTCATAGGCCAAAGGGAATTGATCTAAAAGAGGTTCAAAACATTTGTACTTGTAAGATTTTTTTGTTTTGAGGGAGGGTTGGATTTGGTGGTGAGGTGGGAGAGATTGTAAGTAATAGGTCATGAATTCAAACTCCCATTTACCCAAAAAAAAAAAAAGATATTTTTTTTCTTTCCAGTTATTACATTGCATATCATAGTGAAGCTGGACTATAGGTTAGAATGTCGTATATCTCCCATCGAGTAGATAATTTTATTATCTAAAATTGGAGCTGCTTAAATTACCAATGTCTAATTTAAGTCCAATCTTTTACCCTAAATTTTGCTTTCAAGTATATTCAACACCCTTAATCACACCAGCAAAATTGCTGATTTATCGTCCCGCAGATCACTGTTTTCATTTGAAAAGCATTCTTCTAGAGATTCCCATTGTAATGCCTTGTATACGGGCAAAATACAATTTATTCTCCTGTGGTTTAGCGCTTTTTCACATAACCCCTTATGGTTTCAAAAGTTTTATATAATTCCCTTATGATTTGGATTAAAGTGTCGAAATGACGAAATTTGCATTCTTTATCGAAATCAACTAAAATGTCAAAAGTATCCCTATGTAAAGTTGAAAATTATTTATTAACCAAGGGAGGATTATATATATATATATATATATATATATATATATTGAAAACCATAAGGGAGTTATATGGTAAAATACTTATTTATAAAGGGGTTATATGGTAAAACGTAAAATCATATGGGGTTGCATGCATATTATGTTTATATATTTTGGTCATTTCAATTATTTTAGTTTTTAAATAAGGGTAATTTTGACATTTTCATGGGTTCCATTACAAATGATCATTTCCGTCATTTTGACACTTTAATCTAAACTATGAGAGAATTATATATAGCTTTTGAAACTATAGGGGAATTATGTGAAAATTGCTAAACTACAGGGGATAAAGTGTATTTTGCCCTTTGTATATTGCTGTTTTCGATTGTCTTGTTTGGTATGACTATTCGAAAATCATAGGTGCCAACAATTATTTCTGCAATCCCCTTTTTCTTTTATGTTTATAAATTTGAAATTTATCATTCAAGCTACAATAATTAATATTTAAAAGTATCTTTTTTCTAAATTTTACATGTACTAAGAAACTTAATGTATTACTTTTAGGATAAATTACATATAACCCTCCTGTGGTTTCATCTATTGTCATATGACCCTCTTGAAAGTTTCAAAATACCCACTTCATCCTCTATGGTTTTATGTAAAGTGAAAATTTGATGAAAAATAACATATGTAATGCAGTTAGTTGAAATACGAATGGTGCCCTTACTTAAGTGCTAAATCAATCAATGGTTTAACGACCTTGAATAAAACTATTGGAAGATTACATGGATAAATGGTAAAACCATGGGGGGGTAAATAAGATATTTATACAAATCATAAGGGTGTTAAATAGACATTAAGATTTTATCACACACACTTTTAAAGCGCGTTTGGTATAAATGCTATAACTGATTGTACATTCTATCCATTTTTCGTTTTATATAAAATCATAGGGGGATTATATGGCTATTTTAAAATTTTAAGAGGGGTCATCTGGTGTTGTGTAAAATCACAAGCGGGAAATAAGTTATTTACCCTTATTTTTATTTATAAATATTATTCAAATGATTCATCGATTCAACCACTTATCCACCTATTGACCCAGTGACCCATCTACCCGCTCCTTTTTCAAGTTTTCTTGGGCCGACTTTAATGACTATGGAGATTTGTGTTCATCAAAGAGAGCTGTATGACATCAACCAAAGGACCTATTTCAAAAGGACACTCCTCACAATTCTTTAGTTGTTGAATTACTAAGAAAGCATCCCTTCAAGAAAAAAATTAGTGATCCTCAAAAGCTCAACTAATTCGGCAGCTTCGTTGGTTGCTATTGCTTGTGCAACCTAAGCCATACACAATCCCCTGAAAACTTTTAGCAAGACCAGCCACGATGACACTCTCATTGTCACGACTAACAGCTCCAATACAATAAACTTTATGTTTGAGAGACTCTGCTCCGCCGAAGCTAATTTTGAAAAAGGGTTAACAAGACCAATAGTCCCTCTCACATATTACTGATGTGAAATTTTAATTTCTCATAATCAAAATGATCGATTTTAATTTCGAACAATTTAAAAATATTTCCTTTTGGTCCCTTGTTATCTTTCCGGCTAAATTTTGTGGGAATATATCACGAGTTAGTCACGTGATTAGTTTTTCAAGGATAAATTTGACAACTCAATTAATATTGCCTTTCCTAATCCACCACTTCTCTCCATTATTCACCAAATGCCAAACTAGTTAAAATGACATAGTTTTGATAAAACTCCACTTTTTCTATTCTTTCTTTCTTTTTCCTTTTTCTATCATCTTCTTCCTTCCATTTTCTTACAAAGCTCACATGAGCTGCCATAGTGCATTTCAGCAGCGGCAGCACCGCAGACCACCATCTTCTGTTCACAATTTGTCTCAAATTTTAACTCCCCAGTTGGTTTTTTGCTGCATAAATTCCGATTCTAACATTATTTTTTTGCAAAAATTGTACAAAAAGTGGTCAAAATGGCCAAAAATAGCTGTGATTTCTTTTCATTTCTTTTGTCAAAACAACACAAAAACTCATTGAATTTTTTTGCAAAATGACCCAGATGAAATGCACAGCATCAATAACTCGAAAATCAGCCATGTAAGCCTCAAGAATCAACAAAGTTAAAACAAATCTTTTTTTTTTTTTTTACAAGTAATGCATAGCCATTAGGTTCAATAATTTGGAGATGATTACATTAGAGCTTCTTAAGTGAGGCTTCGGATGTGATTGTAGACTAGTAACTTCAGTAGCTATATCAACCACATATGCTATCATGGGTTTGCTAAGGCTCTTCGAAATCTTGTAATTTTCAAGTGCTTTGGGAATAGCCATCAGGATTTGGTGTGGTGGTGAGAAAAAATCATTTCTTCAAAGTATTATTGAAAACGGGTGATGGTAGGGAAATCACCTTCACCTTGGCTTTTCCAGGTCCCTAGCAAGAAGGACAGAGGTTGGACTACTAGATGTGCTGTTGGTGACACCGCCTCACCTCTGCCGTCCATATTTACGTCGAGCCCTATTGAGCTTTGTTATTTAGTTACAACAAATCTTGAAATTTTATACAACACATTTCCATGATTTTTTAAAAATAGAGGGAGAAAGAAATATACTTATTTACAAGACCCATAAAATTGGGGGAAGAAGAGGAGAAAAGAGGGAAAAGGGATGGGGTGGAGGCTGAGAAGTGAGAAAGAGGTCAAATGGCAGTGGTGGTGTTGGTAGAAGTGGGAGTGATATGAGAAGATGATGCTAGAATAGGTAAATAAGTGACGTGGATTTAGAATTGTGAAATCAGGGTTTAGGTGGAGAATAATTTGAAAAGATGGTAGATTAAATGAAAAATTAGTTCAATATTAAATGAGTTACCAAATTTGCTCTTAAAAAATTAATCACGTGATGGGTTCGTGACACATTTCGATAAAAATTTGGTTGGAAAGGTGACAAGAGACCAAAAGTGATCGTTTTTCAATTGTTGGGAACTAAAATCTATCATTTTAACTCTAAAGGACTAAAATTTCACATCAGTCATATGTGAGAGGCTATTGGTGCAATTTTTCCTTTGAAATAATTGCATGGTGGCAACAACTAATGCGCATATATCTCGATATCACTTTAGTCTCTAAATTCTAAATTAGGATACTTTAATTCCTAAATTGTATGTCGATTCCTATTTTGGATGTCCAAAATCCATTTTTCCCTCAACTTTTGGAATTTTTTCTGGGCATAGTTTGATCTGATTTTGCTGCTGTACCCTTGCAACATGCAACTATGCTGCTCAAGTGACTGGTATTCCATTAACTTTGAGATTCTGTTAAAGATTGTACTTAAATGCGATAATTTTAATAGTTTGGGGACTAAAATATCCCAATTTATAATTTAGGAACTAAAATAGGAATTGAAATACAGTTTAAGGGTGTAAAGTAAAATTAATCTGAAAAAAAAAGAAAAACCCAAAATTTAGGAGTGCCCATATATACACGTATGTTTTATTACATGAATTTGTTGTCTGAGCATTTACCTTACCAATTATAATTAAAACTTGCACAGTTAAGCCTCATAGTTGTGTCAATTCAAATGCCTCGACAACCTAGCCTCTATATTATTCGGACTTTTCACTTTACCCTACTGTATTTATGTTCAACTCTTTATTTTGCACTAGAATAGCCGTGTCAGAGCATTACAAGCTTTTCTCTAACACAAAGTTGTTTGGCATTAGATTAAGAATGTTATGTTTGCTGTAAATATAGCAAGGTCTAAGTAATGAGAAGACATTAACAATCTTTCATTTTACAGTTTCAGTCTTGCTTGCACAGAATAATTTATTCTTTACCATTTGTATGCCATACCATTTCACGTTTTTCCTAACTATGTAGCAAGTTACAGAAAAGATGAAAAATTCCATTCAGAGCAAGAAAGGAAACAGCTTGACAAAAACACAATACATCTTCTGTTTCAGGCAAGCCAAAATATGTATTCAGTGAACTTATTCCAGAGGTTTTATCAACAAAGACCAGAAAGTTTACAGCCAGGCTGGATTCTTTAAAGGAGTAACAACAGCCTTCACCTGTAAATAGTTCTGTAGGCTGTAAAATCCTTTTTCTCTCCCATGGCCGCTCATTTTGTAGCCACCAAAGGGAATTGCAGCATCAAAGACATCAAAACAGTTAATCCATACTGTTCCGGCTCTCAGTCCTCGCGATAACGTGTTTGCTGTGTCTATGTTCTTCGTGTAAACTCCTGCTGCTAGGCCATATCTTGTGGCGTTTGCCCTTTTAATCACTTCATCAAGGTCCCTAGCAGGACAGGACATATGACACTTGAGTACATATAAAAATTCAGTTACGTCTATTACTGCTGTATTATCTTCTCTGAGAGCTCAAAATAGGGAGAAACCTCAGTTAATACTTGATCATTTTTTTCATAAACGGAGATAGAAATCCAAGATGTAGTTGTCCACATCCAATTATTAGAAAGGTAACAATCTTATGTATATCAGATTTCAGAGGGCATTTAGTTGCCAACCCAGCTAGGCTTTTTCTAGTGGTCTTCCTTTTTGTTCTTCTTGGAAGGGCCTAGGGGCTGTTTTTATATCCTTATAATGCAGTAGGATTCGGTTCAGCTCTACAAAAAAGCCCAGATACTACTAAGCATGAACAAAATGCAGAGTTTAGATGAAATTCACTATCAAATAACTCACTTGAATTTTAAGATCGACTGCACTGGGCCAAATATTTCATCCTTCGCTATCAGCATATTATCCTGTTTGAACACAAATGTAGGTTGCTTATGTTATAAATTTATTTTTTTTGCACGTTGTAGTTGAAGATTAATGGAACAGAAATGCAGGGTTACCTGAACATTGGAGAAAACAGTTGGTTGAATAAAGAAGCCCTTAGAACCAATTCTTTCGCCTCCACACTCAAGGGTAGCATTACTATCAACTCCAGATTTTATATACCTCAGAACCTTATCAAATTGCTCAGAGTCAATCTGAGACGTTTATTGGGCAAAGAAACTCTTTTGTTAGAAACCAGAATTTGTAATTGAAAAGTAAAATGTATATCGACAAGGAACAGACATAGCAAGCTTTGTTTATGATGAATGTGTTCCACAGATTAAAAATTTGCAGGAAGATTTCCCTTTCTTTCACGACAATGCTGAGAATATGCTCCCCCACAGAATTATATTATCATATTTGAATGAACAACAGTTGGTTGCATTACAACACCCTCAAATACAATAAATAGATTTGGCATATAAGTTGCATGAGTAATCTAGAGCCTCATTTTATCAACCATTTTTACACTTCAGCAAGAATGGTCAAATGCAGAACATATTTTGCCATGGTCACAGACTAATAGATAGTCACTGGAGAGCATGCTTAAATCCACATTAAACCAGAGCACAAAAATGCAATAGAGAATACCTGAGGGCCTTGTTCAACACCTTGCCTGAATGGATCTCCAACTGTACGCCTCAAGGCGCGAGCCTTTGCTTTCTCCAGAAACTCATCATAAACACGTTCATGAACAAATGTACGAGAACCAGCACAGCAGCATTGGCCCTAAAGGTAGCAAATGAAATTCTAAATAGAGCCTTCGAACCTCAATATTAACTTTGGCAGACAATTCTTGAGCAAACCTGATTAAAGAATAAAGCAAAATGTGCTTCCTCTACAGCCTTGTCGATATCAGCATCCTCACACACAATAAATGGTGATTTCCCTCCAAGTTCCAGAGTAACTGGTTTGAGATTGCTTTTTGCAGCCAATTCAAGCACAATTTTACCAGTATCTGTTGATCCTGTAAAAGCAAGCTGTAGAAAACAATAATAAAAGTTGTAAGAATCAACCCCAGGTTTTGCTGCACTGTTATAGTTTCCCCCTTGGGTGCATTTTAATGCAAAGAGTTAAAATATGCCCCTCGGCTTCTCCCTGATCATCAGTATCCTGAAAAGTTTTAATCTGAATTCCAAGAGCTTAATCATTGTTAAGTTGCTTATGTGAGTGGCGAGAATAAATAACATGTATAATCAACAATCGAGAGTCAAAACACTGTTCCAGTAGTCAGCCTAGAATAACAGCGTTTGATAGTAGTCTTAATTTCTGTTTATTCTCTGGAATATTACTAGATAATAGTCCTCACAGAGTATATCTTTAAGCAGTTACGAAAAGACAACTCCATGTTAAAGCCTTGCAGCCAAGCTTCAACGGTACCACTCTGGAGTCACTCGATTAGTTTTTTGTGGATACAAGAATTTATCACTTAATGAACTCAACCCTTTGAAGCCAGGCTATATTAGATTGGATACAAGAATTCATCTCCTCTTCAGAACTCCTCTAGCTCTAGCTATCACATGTAGTTCTACAAAACCTTACAGTTCATGTTAGCACATAGCTGCCAGTAGTCTATCTTTTATTATGCAATCCTTAAGCATTACAATAACCTCTAGCAGATGATTCATATGAAAGCAACGTTGATCGAAAGTATCTATCATTCATGGTTCCAACTGAAAACACATCTAACCTTGTCAACATCCATATGACTAGCAAGAGCTGCACCGGCAGTAGGGCCATAGCCTGAGATTACATTCAAAACGCCAGGAGGAAGACCAGCCTGCCAAAACTCTACTAAGTTAATTGAAAAGTTATAACTATGTTATCACTGTTTGGGATTTGGGCATAAGCACCAGGGAAAGACACAGATACTCTTGATTCTATTCTCAAAACACAGTGAAACAAATGAATGCTTAAAAATTAACTTGAATGAGCAAGCACATTATTAGCAATTAGTACAAGTACAGATCAGGAAAACAGCTTTCTTAAACCAACCTCATGAAACAGCTTTGCAACGTAGAGAGCAGTTAGTGGCGTTTGCTCTGCAGTCTTCAGGACAACGGTATTTCCAGTTGCTAGTGCAGGCCCTATTTTCCAAGCAAACATTAGAAGCGGAAAGTTCCAGGGAATAATCTGACCCGCAACACCAATTGGTTCATGCAAAATTTGAACATGATGAGGGCCATCAGCTGGAGCAGTTAGACCATGGATCTTATCCGCCCAACCTACATATTGAACATAAGTGTGTCATGCCATACACCTT